GGGAGGTCCGACAACTGAACTGAAACCGAAAAAAAACAAGTTCAAACTCGTTCCAAATACAACTTTCTGATTATCGCTATGCTGTGTGCTAGGAATTATTACCATAATTACCCTTTATAGCTCGAGGTAGCTTGCCGAAAAACTTGTATAGTTTACGGTGAGAATATTGTAGGTGAACACCGGACTCAGAAGTCGTTTTCTCGATGTCGTTTCGGAAATTTTGATGTCAAAGTTGCAATTCGTTCTGATCGGCCAGTCACTCCGAAAAAAGGATGAAATTATGCAACTGGCGAAGCAATGCCGGATTGCAAGCTGTCCAGAAGAGGCGTTACACATCACTCACGTGACAGCTTCGAATCACTTAAAAACGGTTAGCTCCTCAAAGAAGCTGAAACGTTTCCGGAACGCGACAAAATCGAACCGTTTCTGAAGCGACTCAGGCACGAGGGATGAAATTAACCTATTACGAGAATATGAAACGAAAAAAAAATGGTAAAATTCATTACGGTGACTCTTGGTAAGCGACATCAAAGCCTGAATTGTCGGCATACAAGGTGATGCTGAGTATTGATTGTTAAATTGGAAGGGAAAATTGTCCTGTTTCTACGCTTCAAAAGTTTTGATTTTAGCGTCGAAGACAAAGATGAAAAATGCTGCTAAAATCAGGCGAAACCTGGAACTAATTCGTTTGAGCCATGCATGAGAAGGTGATGCTACTGCATGACAACGCTTAGCCTCAGATGGCTGTAAGAGTCACAAACTACATGGATACGCTGAAATTGGATCTACTGGCTGTTTCGACGGATGCAAAGCCGATTTGTGCGTACACCGATTCGGGTCTTTTAAAGAAATCAAAGAATGTCTCAATGATTGGATCGAGGAGAGAGAAGACTCATTTTTAGAGATGATATTCGAAAATTTGCAGAGGGATGGGAAGAAGTAGTAAAAGTAGTAATACTTGAAATATGGTATTTTTTTTTACTTTTTTCAATAAAAAAAAATAACACTTTTTTGAACAGAAAAAACCGAACCGTATTAATTTGTACTCCAAATAATAATATTACCATAATTTTTTATTTTCATTTCTTAATATTATTTGCTTGCAGCTCCTTTAGTGTCACCTTAATAATTGGTTATTTGTACGTATGACGGTATCTCTCAACAATGAGCCTAATTATGTCATGCTCAACTGGCTACACGAACGAATATACAATAAGTTGACAGCAATAGCCAGAGCAATGATAATTCTGTTACTTTTCTACAAAACTTTCATTAATATTTTGACAATTTTGTGCTCGTAAGACGGTTTTATGTGGCGCCTGTGTAAATGTTGATCGTTTTATTGTTTTTTTTTTTTTTTGCTTGGCAAATTTAAAACTACTGCAGAGAAGATTTTTCACTCGTTTTTCATAATATTGTGGTATGAGAGGGGTAATTTACAGTATAACAGTACAGTACAGTAGTAAGCGCTCAGGCATACTCTACACTTTTCTCACAGAATTTGATATTCTTATTGGGTCTCGTTGGCAAAAGCGTGAAATTCATTTCAATGAGAACAAGTACTCACACGAATTTTAATGCTCGAACTGGTTGTTGAGAGAACGCATAACGAGCTAAAATTAACATTTCATCATATAATAAATGCCTAGAACGCCAAACTTATACACATGTGTATATACATAAAGTATATGCATTCCTAGGTTCAGTTTTACCCGCCCAGAAACATTGATGACTAATGAAAAAAGTATTTGTTTTGTTTAATTTTTTTTTATTAGTCAAACCCTTTGTTATGCGAATACGAGACAAAATCACTTTTTGTTTTACTGATCTTTTTTGTTAGTTTAAGTTTTAAATGTTTTACATTACTATGGTATATACATATATACATATATTGTTCGTTGTTTAGCATTATTAAAGCCAAAATAAAAGAAGGCATTCACCTCTTTTCGTTCACGTGTAAATGAAGACGAGCCAATTGATGCTTCAGACAATGTGGGATTGTGTTTTGGGTTTGTTTTTTGAACGAATTGGAAGGTGTATTCACTTTTAGTCACTAAATTGACAAGAGATATTCATGGTCAATTTTGGTATTTAAAAAAAATAGAGTTTTAAAATATTATTATTGCCAATTTGTCCTAAAAATTGCACTAAATGAAAGTCTTTGGTGGTTTCTTATAAAAAATTTGGTTTCTGACCAACGTGAAGGGCAACAGCAAGGTCAAAGTGAATGTCGCTAAATGTGATGATACGTTTTGAAGATACAGAAACGCCTTTGTATGGCCTGTGAGTTTTATCTCATTTAATTTCTCAGTTGATAATATTGTATACAAGGATCAGATTCAATAGACATGCCAGCGGTAAGCCTTCAACGTCATACATAGACAAACACTCAACACCTTCATAAACACTTGCCTTTAGTGAAATCCAACCACCTGTTTCGTGAGAACCCATATATTGGAGTAGGCTCAACTACTGCATAGCTAGACTCGAACTTGACATATCCAACGACTGCCATGCCTGATTGGGACATGCAAAGTCGACTCATCTAACGCTCCTCCCGTTTTACCCCAAACTCGATGCAACGGTTTTCTTTCTCGGCCTTCCTCGAAAATGAGCCCGATGATATAAGCCAGCTTTATCTGCTTCCAGGAGGAGTTACCAAGCTATTATAACGTTAAAATCTGATTTGAATTTTGGCACTCCTATCGGTATCACGATCTACATATATGCTCATGGAAAAATCCAAACAGACTAGTTCATATGCTAAACTTTGACGTGCTCTCGTCTCTCCGATTAAGCTCATTCGAGGAACCGAGGCTTAGTCGGTTTATTTTGAGATCGATGTGATGTGATCAGCAAGTGTAAAAAAATATGTTTATTCGAAGAGAGAGCTTTTTTTTACTTTAAGTTTTGCTTATCTAATTGCCATATTGTCCTTCAAACTGCAAACTAACCTTTTATTACAAGCTCTCCTGCATCTTTCTCTCGATCGATTTGAACTTTTTTTCGAACCTTGCTGCTTTTGGCAAACAAAAAGGCAGAGTTTTCACTATGTTTGAGGTTCTAACTGACCAATTTGTACGAATATGTTAAGACTGGCCGAAATTTCGGGCCCTTACACATGCGTAACTGTTTAATTTTACAGTTATTTTAAAAACTCAGCCCCTACTGGCTCCACCAAAGTTTGGGTTTGGCCCGTTATCTTATTATCATTTTTATACCTTTCATGAGTTAAGGCCCTTACCATAAAAATAAGTAGCCGAACAGAAAGAAGAGGAGCCCGAGGATGTGGCCTACAAAGTTAGAGAGCAACCAAAAGACCATTTATTTTAAGAAAAATCGACTTGACCGTTTACAATTTGTTCGGAGCACGTCAACTAGACAGTGAAACAATGAAACATAATATTTTTTTTTATTTATTTGATTTTTATTTTTTTAGATAAATATATTATTATTTCAAATATTCGGATAAGCAGAGTTCTGTACTGTATTCATAGTGTTAAGCTTGGCGAAGGTAATGTTATGACTTGGAGATATTTTCCTGGTTTATGTTCTACCTCTGCATAATATAAATGGCATTATGGATAGGATTATGTATAAATATATTCTGGAAAGCATGATTCTGCCATTTTCGTGGGCATTTCAACAAGATTTCGACCCAAAACACGCCTCGAAACTAGTCGCAGCTGAAAATATTAATATCTTTAAGCGGCCAGTACAATCACCGGATCGAAATCCAATTGGAATTCTATGTGATATACTTATACTTAACAGGATGACGAACAGAGAACGTGTAAACGGGGGGAAAAAGAAACTATTCCATGCTGCAAAAGTATTCTGCAGGAAGACATTAGCAATATTATTGCCTCCATGAAAAAGAAGGAGGTGCAAATTAATAATTACTACTCTTCCAATACGTTTTGTCGCTTTAAACATGTTTAAATTTGTTTGCATTTAAGTCATGGAGACAAAAATTTAATAAAGGTTTCTAATATTAATGTAAAATAAGTTTCTCTTGATTTCTATGTAATTTTTTATATCTAAAATGATGTTTGTGGAAACCAGAGATGGTAATATCAATCGTGGATATTAGTCTAATATGTTTCGCTTGATACTGTACATCACTTAGCAATTTTAGCTGCAACCTAATGAATTTCATACACGGTGTGTCCTAAAAATAACCGAACCTTATATTTAAATCATACAACATACAGCGCCATTTATTGAAAATTTGCAACATTAAAGAGATGCATTCATCCTCTTTCAAACGCACTTAACATCATGTAAGTCGAATGACAGATGTAAAAGTGACAGCCATTTCAATAAAACCAAAAGTGTCAAAAATAAAATGGAACAAAGAGCAAATATAAAATTTTGTATCAAACTTGAAAAGAAATTAATGAAAAAAGTTTATTGTGATGATTGTTTGAATTTTTAATGAAAAAAGGCATTTCTCTCATCGACCATACTCCGCATTCGCCTGATCTATCACCGTGTGACTATTTTTTATTTCCAAAACTGAAAACCAATATGAAGAGAGAATTTTATGAGGATATCCCAGCCATTCAAGCAGCCGTAACCGAGGTACTGAAGAACATTTCTATAAATGACATAAAAAAATCTATGCATGCGTTGGTTGATTGTTCCAAACGTTGTGTTGAGTCAAATGGAACCTATTTTGAATAAATAATAACTTTCAAAGATAATATATTGTGTATTTTATTTAATATCCAAAAAGTTCGGTTATTTTTGGGACACACCGTGTATGTTCAAGAAAGTCATAATGGCTTCGTCACTTATGGTTCTGTACTGGTTTTTCATTCAATTCTTTTTTATAACAATTTTGTAATACATTTTATATTAATTATGTTCCTGAAAAAGTGGGATCACTACTAATTTTTTTCATAGAACTTAGTAATAAAGCTTAAAACGTTTATTTTTCAGATTTTCTAAACTTCAAACGTGACGCTTACGTAACTGCCACCAGAAGTAATACGCACCTCTATTATATGAAACACTCGCACCATCTATTACATCTTCAAAAGCAAGATTTGTACTACAACGCCCATCTCCAATAGCAGCATCAGCACTTGCGGCACGCATAAATGGACGCGGTTTGCGATTTTTCACGCGTAAACGTAACTCGGTACTTAAAATACGCATGATTGAGGCGAAATGCACACACACACGCACACCCGACAACAGACACTCACTGATGGTAAACGACGAGAAACTTCCTTATTGTCTATTGCAGAAATTAAAAATAACTTTGCTTGGAATGTTGAGGCACTTAATGATTTTTTTCGGCAGCGTATGGGCACAATTAAGACGCGCTGAAATTTAATTAACTATTTTTTTTTTGTATTATTTTTTTCAAATTTCAATTGCTTTTTTAATTATTTCACACTCAATATCTATTTATTTATTATTATTTTTTTTTTTTTTTATCTTAAATACTGCCATGCACTCACTGGTATTTATGTATGCTGCTGCATGCCAGCAGAATAAGCGAAAGTCTTGCTATACTCAAAACTACACTTCCACTGTTTTCAACACTTTCAAGAAAAAAACACTGGGAACCACCACCAACACCACCACCACTAAATTCACAATTTCAATGATTCCTGCTACGTCTAAATGTTCATGTGGCATATGCTATAAGCTGAAGCTGGGGCGACACTCGTGCGCGTGCACTGACGCAGCTGCCTGAAGGGTTGATTGTGTTAATGATGACGACGATAGTGCGTTTGGAATGTTCATATGCCAAAAATACCGAAAATATACGTATGTAACTAACAGATGCACTTAGTTGAATGATCTCTATGACCGGCCAGCAGCAGTAGTGTCGGCTCATAGACGCAGCCGCTACTAAAGTTGAATGCCAACTGCTGTAACTATTAGCATCAACAGAGTCTATTGCTGGCTTTTGCGTCGCTGCTGCTCGTTGCCGCGGCTACTCGTACTATAACTATTTCCACTGGCGCTTTATTAGTTGTCGAGAGTTCGATGGAAAGTATGTATACAATTTAAAATATCGTTGGTATTATTGTATTATTGTTTTTGTTTTTTTTTTTTGTAGTGTCCGGCAGTCATTTACTTCGCCATTTAGATATTCATTCATGCAATTGAATCAAAAATTGTATTCGATCATAATGCGCAAAACGGGAAAAAAAAGAAAAACCATTTTGTTGGTCGAATGAACAGAAAGTGAGTTGTGGCGCATCGAATTGAGGCTTTGGCGAGTTGATTTGAGTTCACATACAACGAGCATTCAATAGTTATTTTGCTTTTCTACTTTTATTAGTTTACATTATTTTTTTATTTTTCACTTTTTTCTTTTAATTCTTTATTGAACTTATTGTTTTTGGTATTGTTGCCGCTGTCACTACCGTACTACCGTACGGCACGTAATTCGTTGCTACAAAAAAAAAAAGAAAATATTACACATGCAGCAGCGTGTAATTAACACACGAGCTGAAAAGTTCCGGGCCTGGCACATAGGTGGCGCTAGTTAGTATACATACATATATACATATATAATTGGCACTTTGTAACCGCTGAAGCGATTTTCACCAACTATTTGTGTGCGCCTGGATGTTATTCCATGAGGAGCCCAGATTTCATGTCAGAAATACTAACGGAGGGGTTGATATTCGTTGCCGAGGGCGACCGCAATTAGAAGCAATAATTTTGGATGTTAGTCCGATGAGGATACGAGCCATGATCTTCCGAATGGTAGTACGTACTACCACCACCACTTAGCTGTCAGTTATTACGATATTCTACTCATAAGTTAGTTAGTAACTGTACCAATGGTGGCAAAAGGGTCTTTAATATTTGGCTGCTCCTTTTAACCAAGCAATGGCTTGAAAAGTGTTTAAAGGGTTCCGCTCAACCAATAATAACAATAACACCAATAGAAGGATAACATCAAAAGGAAAATTTACAAAATCATTCCAAATGATCGAAAAGTAAAGTAGCGTGATAAGATCGGTTCGTTAAGCCGTTAAATCTAAGACATTGAGGAAATAAATATAACATAAAAAAATAATTATTTCTTTTTTTTAGTACGAAAAAAAATTTTTGCTCTGTTTGCAATCCTTGGTAGTTTAATGGTACGGCCTAAGTTGGAGTTGCTTTAGGTCAGCGCGACTGCTATATCAGAGTCACATCCCCTTTAATATCACTCACTATAATAGAGCTCCATATGTTAGTATGGGACCATGGATGAAACATGAACCCATCACTGCACTCCGGCATCAAAAGCTCGCCCAAAGCGCCCAAAACCACAACAATCGGCCGACAAGGTTATACTTGCATTTTGTAATGAGTTTGGTGTAATATTCAACAACGGTCTTGAGAAGGGAAATATAATCAACAGTAAATATGAATATACCGAAGATCAAAATTTCAAGAAAACTTCCGCAAGTGGCAAACAAAAAAACTTTGTTTCATTTGACAAATTGTACTTATAATTGCTCTCTTCTTCTTTAATGTATTCATCAGACTGAAAAAAATGTTCTCCGGTAATAAATTTCGCTCACGCTAAGCCCTATTTTGAGTCAAAGAAAAAGTATTATTAAAGTCTTAGAGCCGCGTTGATATGAATTGTATGGCCCTTAATGGATATTATATTGATGTATAAGACTTTGTTTGGCGGAAAGCGTACATTAAATGAACGACTGATGTTAATTGAATAATTTTAAAAGTCTCTGTAGATTTTGTCTTTCCTCCAATTTGTGGTTTTTGCGTCTTGATGTTTTTCCAACAAATGGAGGGACCAGTTTATACCAAGCCGCCTCCGAACGGCTGATGGTTTTTTGACGAGAAGCCTTTATTTCAGGTCCGAAATACACTCGGGGCGACCCCAATTACAAAATTTAACTTAATTTTTTTATTTAAATTAATTTTCCATGACCTTTTTTTGGATGACATAGATAGTAAAGGTCAATATCTGATTGATCAAAATTAAATTAAGGTAAACTACCGCGCTCACTGATCGCGCAAAATTTTGCCTTTCTTCGGCCCTTGACTTATCAACCCATGTGTTATTTAGGTAATGCGCGAGTATGTAAAAACTTCCACTTGTATTTACAATTAAATACATAAATACATAAATAAATGCTTAATTGAATACGAATAAATAGAAAACTGTAGCGAATAGTTGCTACTATTTTATATGAATATTTTCTTGGCAAACTTTTATTTTCTCTACAACTCATAGCAGCACACACAACGCCAACAACACTTTAAGAAACCACACTTTATACATAGACTAATACATACACATATACGTTTATATGTAGATATGCACATAAATAGCTACTCATTCAGCACTAAAGCTTTTCACATTCAGTTCAATGAATTGTCGTATCACCACAAAATTTCCAATTTCATCGATATGTACATACACGTACATATGTATTTTCAAACTGATTTCTTATTTCTTTCTTTTTTTTCAGATTCAGAAAAATATCACCACTTTTAATATGGAAAATTTAAAAACGATCGCATTTTGCGGTTACGTGTACACAATAAGTTTTAGTTTTTCCCGCAGCGTTTATAGTTACTATTGTATTGTACAATACTCAGATACTCAGTTTAGTCTAGTCAGTTGATGTTGCTCGCAGCGCCATCAAATGCTACTAAAAAATGTTTTTGCTTTTGCTTTATGCTATTGGCAATGTTGGTCGTGCTAAAAGCTAGCAAATCGTGTCTTATCAAATGCGAAGTAATAAATTTAAATGCACACATACATGCATATGTGTATGTATATCTCTATTGATCAGGCAGACCCATTGGGGTGAGGTGGTGGTGTATTTACTTAAGCAGTCTACAGACAATAGGCGTATTTGTTACAATCAGCGTTTTTTTTTGTACTAATGTATGTGTGTCGACAACGACTGGCAACGACTTTGAGAAACGTTCAAGATAATGGCAATTAAATAATAAGAAGGTATAAGGTGATCAGGCGCTAAAAAAAACTTTTACTTTAAGGTTGAAGTACTCCTCGAAGGGAGTTCTATAAACCTAGTGATATATTGTTTGACAGACATGGGCACGAGTCGTGCTTTAAGTGGTTATATCCACTTGTATTTTCAGAAAAAATCAATTTTTTTCCAAAAATCTGAAGTTGATCAGATAAATAGTCTCGGAGATATGATCGTATCCTTAAGGACGTCTCGTTTGGCATGTGAAGGATTCGCAAAACTTTAAATGCATTTTTTCTCTAAACGCTGTTTTCAGAGTCGTTAAGGACAATTTCTCTGATCGAAGGAAAACAACCTTTGACGATTTTTAACCCACTTGGAAGCGTGGAATTTCTCACAAAAAATTAAAAATTTTTTGAAGCCGCTATTTTGTCGAAAATAAAAATTTTTACTATTCCTTCGATTCCTGTATTCATTCAATATTTTCGGGTTTCAGATAATTTGAAATAGAAATATCTTCCTAACTGCCAGATACCTTTTTTTTTTGGAGGTCCTTCTGGAGATCGGCTACAACTCGAACTCTTCCTCCAATTCGTGGTTTTGCGTGCTAATGTTTTTCCAACGAATGGGGGATCTGCAGTTTATAACAAGCCGACTTCGATTATTTTTTTATGTAGAGCTTTGTTTCTCTTCAGAAATGCACTCGGTGGGGTTGACATTCCCTGCCGAAGAGCGACCGCAATTAGAAAATTAAGCAGAATGCTTGAAGAAGTTAAATGCTGCATTTCTACTATTAAATTGTTCACTCCAGTCCTCGGCAGCAGAGCGAAGTTAAAATAATTCATGCAGCTAAAGTTGAAACTGCGTTTTTCAAGAACAACGGGGTGCCGATCAAACTTCCAGAGTCTTACAACGACTCTTACTTAACACTCTATGAACTTAATTGCGTCCACCTCTAAATGGTATCATGTAATACCCAGTAAGAGAGGACGTATATTATACTCCAAGAAGTCTAGAATCTTGGAAGCGGCTCCTCTCACGTTAGGAAACGTTCACGTTCCCGAGAGAGTATAATAGTTGGAACTGAGCTGGACGCTAAAAAACATAGGTGAGCAAACAAAAAAGCAAGGGATGCAATCGGCAAGAAATTTAAAGTAGTGTATGAGAACTACATAACTCGAATAAAGCCCAATTTCTTTTACGGTGCTGAAAATAGTTCGACGCGCGGCTTTCATAAACATCTATAATACCATACGAACCACTCAAAACATGACGTTTAATGCTATATGTCATACGAAATGAGTTTAACTAATATTAGCTCGCCTCGTCGTGACCGGAATCATGTGGACCTCAGGAAATGAAATCTTAAAAAAAAAAGTTTGTTTTCCGTGTACATAGAAACACTCTTTTTCAAATGTGGTAAGCTTCCTGGCGGCAACAGTTCTTGAACATTTAACAGTGCATGCTACTAAACAGAGGATCGAATCATGGCATTTGCATCCAAAGTTATGTATTCTTTTTGATTGCGGTCGCCTCTCGGTGGGCACCTAGTATCTTTTTAATATGATTTTTCTGTTGAAAATAGCTTCAGTTCCTATCTCTCTCTCTATTAAGCAACACATAGTGGACTGGGTGTAAAATCAACTGGCGTATCCGTGAGCTGTAGAGATGAGGATGTAATGAGGAATGGCATGGCCTGTTATCTTAAATCGCTTTCTTTGCCAATTTTCCGCACTTTGGAGGAGATTGAAGTCTCTAGGGACAGGAGCTGAGTGCAGGAGAGTGTGTTGATGGTCTGCGGTAGCATTTATGATCGTTCTAACTTCATTCTATAGTAACAGAAGCGATTCTGTAGTTTGTTTAAATAAATCTCTTAAAAACATAGACAGCTGGTCACTCTAATCCATTTATTTACGTATGTATAACATTGTATATATGAATGTATGTAATACATGTATTTTATACGTTTACATAGACGACAACAAAACATCATTCAACATTAGATGGTCATGTGCGTATTTTACGAACCTACCCGCCAAGCCACCCACCCCACCCTCGTAGACCTAATCTGGAAATATCGTCAATGCAGCAACACAACTAGTACTTAAATACATATATGTATATAGACAAATGCTTTATTGAAGAGAGCGTTCGCGAGTGTAAATACGAAAAATTGAGCTTTTAAACTTGAGACTTCGCAGAGACAAAAGCAAAACTGCTGTCATATTCACTCACCGAAATGAATGAAATGTTACTCACTTTTATACGAGACTCGGCCGGCAAGTGAGGTAATTATTTAATTAACATTTTAAATTATTCCACTGATCGTATAATGATTTTGCGTTTATTGATTGTAGTCAATATCAATTTTTCAAAATAGGAGAAGAAGTAATAAATTGATTTTACTTGTGGTTTCAATAAAATGATTAGATTGGATTGGAGACAAGATCGGCCTTTCACTCAAGCGAATTTCATTCACTTTTTATCAAGATCGTTAAATGATAATGCCACAACACAACATGTTCCATTGTTATTATTGTTATTGTTAACGTCAATACATAAATTCATATGGATATATGTATGTATGTAAATTTATTGAAGTCAAAGTATAATAGAAGAAGGCGCATTTTGGGGGGGTACTAAAGGTCAATAGACCAATTATTGCGAAGTAGGGCAATTAATGATTGGTAGATATGAAATGAATTATAAATGTGACCATGTATGACTGTGTTTGTCGTTGAAAAATATTTTAAAATCTCGTTCCGAAAAAGAAAACTAGAGCCACTTGTCTTATACGCATCTTTGACAGTAAAGCAAGAAACGTCATAGTGCTCGGGCTGCTGATAAGCTCATCAAATCCTATATATGCAGTAGTAGTACAGATAATGTACAGCGAGTTTATTATGTCTGAGTAAGATCTTATTGAGAGAGTACATCATTTACACTATTTCCATCTGTTAATTTGATCGAAAGCATACCTACAGCATAGAAATCGAGGAGAACTAAGATTTTAGGATCAACGTAGCATTGATGCCTTTGTCTTACGATCGTTAAGGAAACACTTACAAACTTTAAGCAATCAGCTCCAATATGCTCTACACATAGTAAGGCACTGGTGCAAAGACAGCGGGCTGGATGTTAACCCAGGTAAAACTGAAATGGTGCTATTTACCGTTCGGTACAAAAACCGCCTCCATTTAAGACACCTAAACCACGGAATAATCTTAGATAAGAAACTCAACTGGAGTTGCAACACGACAGAAAGGTCAAGGAAGGCTATAATTGCACTTTACGCTTGCTAACTGGTAGAGGCACAAATCAATACTACTCTACGGCATCACCGAATAGTGACCGGCAATCGGAAAATACAACCTTTAGGAGCAATTTAGAGAAAGTTTAACGGTTTAGAGGTAATCCTAGGGTTGGTCTAATTTGAGTTATACTCAGTTTGGTTAGCCAAATCCTAACCCAGAAAAATATTTGCAAATCCTGCAAATTTGTTACCAAAACAATAGTTCGGTTTGCGCGACACATTTCAAAAATGTTGAATTGGGAGAGATAATAATGCATAAGCCGGTGTTGAGACGCAACGGGAATCAATGGTCCATACTTTTTCAAAAAAAAAGCATGACCGACCCGTTAGATTTATGACTTTTTCATGTTTGAATTGGAGGATGTTGACATGGGCGATCTTTGGTTCCAAGAAGACGGTGCGACGTGCCGTACTGCGAACGAAACAATCATTCTGTCAGCGCATTGTCTTGCATCGTAGGTCTGTAGGGTGGACCGCTGGACTTTTTTTGCCGAATTATATGAAATCGTTTGTCAACGCAGATAAGACCGAGACGATTGACGCCATAGAAGATTATCCAGCGCGTTATTGCTCACATACGACATCAATTCCTGCGAAAAGTGATCGAAAATTGGGCATAATGGCAAACCCTGCATTTTGCTTTTTATTTCTTCTTGAAAACCACATGTCAAAGAAAAACCCGGAAATGAATTTTGAAAACTTTCTTCCAAAATGATGAGTCCTCAACCGTGCTCATCTAGCGTGTTGAAAGGAAAATATTGTGGCTATAGCTCAAAGTGTGCTCGAACAGCCATCAACATCAACTCAATACCGTTCGCTGGAAATAAACATTTTGCGAACTTCTTTGCGTAGAATTTCGGATAAAGACTTCGGGTTGAACGCTTATAAAGTTCAATTGGCGCGGGAACTTAAACCTCATCTTATCCGATGAAGCTTATATACCGTAGTTATGCAAATTCTAATGCATTCTCAACGATTGTTTGTTTGGTGCAGGTTGTCAACCGGCGACATCATTGGCCGATTTTTCTTTGAAAAGAAAGGAGCTGCCGTTGCCGTCAATGGTGAGAGGCCTGCAGGTCCCGTTAGCTCACAGGTTTTAGATCGATACAGCGTACTTCATGGCCGTCCGGCGATTGTTTTAAGTCAGCGATGTTTCTTTATCTTTGCCTCAGTTCTTGTTGTGGTTGTCTTCCCGAAACTTTACGATGTTGCTAATTGACTGTTTAAAAGTCATCGGCTTTAACATTCAGATCTTGTTTGAGAAGTGTTGTCCCGGGTTTCACGGGTGAAAGTCTCAGAAGTCTGGCAGTGAGTACTGTCGGGAGAGTAGGATATCTTGGCAGAATTCAAAAATGTAGCAATCAACAGCATAGAAGATCAAAAGGAGACACCTTCTGCTCGCGGAAGCAGTTTTAAGTCTTAGAATCCAGCTGCAGTGAAAAGAGTATCGTGTTCTGCAGGTAGTTGTTTATTTTTTATGAATTTACCAAGTTTATTCTCGACCCAGAGGATAGTGATGTTGACCCGGATTTTGACCCGCAGCTAACTGTTTATGTATGTATGTATATTCAAATCATTTCGTCTCAATAGATGTGGAATGTTGTGAAATCGTAACGGGTTATGACTGTTGCCTTCTGCTAAGGTGCAAATATTAAAAATTGTATATATGTAGATAAGTAAACATCATTATATTCAGAGTTAAAAGACTTTGGTGTGCTCTTCGTCATAAAATTGGAGCAATGCTACTTTTACTTCTACTGAATGCTATGCTTCAGCAACTGCATAACGGTCAAACGGGGCATGGGCAGTGATGCGTTCAGAGGAAGTACGCCGCAACAACGTCTGCCTACATCATCCTACACCATTGAAAGCTTACGCGGTGAACTATGCTTTTAAATACGAAAACTACTGAATACAACGGCATCGCTGAGACGACTTCGCACACCAAAGCAAATACATACATATGTACATATAATAACAATATTTATGTGGAACTATTGCGAACGAATGCAATGCACAGAGGAATTAGGGTAGATGGAGGCACCTTTGTGCCGAAGATTGCGTTGAGAAATGCAGCCAAGGCGAGCATTTCGGTATTTTTTGCTTGTATGCATTTATGTATGTATACACATGCACAGATAGATGCTTCTTTTCTTGAGCTATGCGGGCGTATGTCTGCTGCTGCTTACATTAATTGCAGGAGATTGGGGCAAGACAACACAGCAACTCGTTAGAGCATACACACACAATCATAATTTTACACCTCCCGAAATGTTAAAAATAAACTTGTTGATAAAAATATACACAAGTAAGAGAATCCAATGGGAACAAAATTCCATATGCGTAAAACGTGCAGATTTCCATGGTAAGAAATTGTAAGCAACAAACCACAAATAAATATATATATATATTTATTACTAGTTAAAACCTTCCCGATGATTCATGCACGTTAAAGAGCAGTAGGACGCTCGTTTATACAGAAGCGGCTTTATGATGGACTTACACTCCATCAGCGTGCAGCATTTTTAAGAAACGAAATTTGCAATCGGCATGATGTGTAGCGAATGCCATACTGTGCGGGTGCAATACGCCTTTGGACATTGCGGTTAACGCAACTGCTTTTTGTATGTACTATATATTTATGTATGGATATTTTCTTTTTACTGAAATATTTTTACACAAAGTCAGATGCCTCCTTCTTAGGAAATGGATGCATATTTACTCCTTATCTTGATGTGCACTTTTACTGTAATACTCACCGACTTTTTGCAGGGCATTCATATTCATTTTCCTATCCAGTCCTTTGCTGCAAAGGGACTTTGCTGACTTTTGCGGAAACTGCTGTTCGCCTACTTGGCTATTTGGATTTACTCGTGTTTTTGTTCACTGTATTCCTTTTACATAGGATTCACATTATTCACTTGTACACTAATACTGCTTTCATTTTAAATTATTTATCACTATCATTATTACAATTGCACATTTATCAATAGATATTTATAATTTTTATTTATTTAAATTCACGTTCACCGTAATTTTAACTTTAGCTCACTCCGACTTCTTAACAATTCTTCATTTTAGGGCACATTTCAGAACGATATATACTTCGCGCTAGCTCCACTGCTACTTCGCTGCCGCTGTCTCTGCTGCTGTATACGCGAGATTGAAAGATACACAATAAGTGTGTGTGTTGGTTGTGTTTTTTTATGCTTCCCTTGTATTGTGAGATGGTGATTACTCTCATCGAATTCCGTTTTGAAGTTACAATTCGTCGCTAGATGTCACCCAGGCATAAATTGACTTTTTGCCATATCCCATTCGTAAACAAATGAAGAACAGAACGTAAATACGCTCTCAGTATTTACGTTCTCTGATTGAAGGAGTTAAACGAGAATTGAAAAATCCAAAAATAAATGCAAACATTAAAAAATTTATTTCAAACAAAGTGTTGCAAAAATATTGCTCCTAATAGTATAGTTTTATAAAAGATTTTAGTAAATACTCGTTGAGGTTTTGTGATTAAATGGTATGAATCGATTATTGGTGTATCGACGACAACTTTAGATATCGGATTTATTATTTGTCTACGAATTTCTTAATAATTAAATAAATAAATGATTGCACATGATATAGCTATAAAATTATTTGACTTTACGTTTCAAAAAATAAACTAATCTACGGCTTATTCATAAACATTCCTCTATTAAGCATTTAGTTGTGCTTCGATTAAAATATTACTACCATCACCAAGTGTTTATTTTAATAAATCCAATTGGCGCTATTTATATTGTTTTTAAAAAGTTTTTGGTTTATATAAAAATGTCAGCAGATGATAAAATCTTACAATGCCGCAATGATATTATGGTTTTTGTAATTAACAATGTGGAAAATAAAATCCCCTTAAAAGAGGAGGAGATGCGTGATATATTGGACAAAGATAAACTTTTGTACAAGCAATGTTTTCCGCTTGTTGTTGAATCCTTGAAAAAGGTAAGACAAATTCAATATTTCCACCAATCGAAATTATATTGTTTTTCTTTCAATCCACAGGTACATGGCATAATTTTACATAAAGTACCGGAATCGAAAAAATACATTTGTTACTCGGAGCTGACTGCATGCTCGACAGCGGAGTATGATCAAGAGCAGTGTCGTCATTTGACATTGCTATTTATTATACTTTCCTACTTGCTGATGAAAGATTGCTGCGTAGATGAAGGTATATAGATGGTTATTTCTCGTTTGCTTAACGAATCCTAATTGCACTTCATTTTAACAGAACAACTGTTCCACTTTTTAAAGAATATTCGCATAGATATCGATGAAGAACACGTATTTTTTGGGGCAAATCTGAGAAAGCTTATTGCTGATACATTCGTGAAGCAATTATATTTGAAACGTGAAAAGTCCGATTCGGAAACAGAAATGGAAACAAAGTAAATCCTGTAGCATAAACTATTGTAAAATACATGTATGTATATTCTATGATACTTTTAGATATGTATATTCTTGGGGTTATCGCGCCACTATGGAATTCCCTCCAGCTGACGTGCTGCATCAAACTGCCGAGGTACATACATGCTTACATATATTTTGAAGAAGATAAAATGTACTTATATAAATCCCATTTTTAAGATACTTGGCAAAGAAGCCAGAGAATTTGTTGCTGTTTACAATAAATACTGTTCGGACAAGAACGAGGAAGCCATGGCTGTAGAATGACATTAATTAAAAGCGGTTCCAGCTGCAATAATGTTATATATACATTTGTAAAAGTATTTAAATGTTGTTAAAATAGTTTTAACGTTGCTGTCAATGTGTACACGTATATTTATCTAAACGCCTAAATGCTAAACCAGGCAAATGACTGACTTTCTATAAAGGAAAAGGAAAATTTACTACATTTTCGCATTTGCCAGTCATTTATGTGTTTGGATAAAAACTTGTAATAATTAAAGTCAATAAATTATCAATTAAACATAAAGAAGATATAAAACATACATATATGGATATCCATATTTTTATTACATTTTACATATTAGAGGTGTCATTAAATAAGCCTTGAACTCTCTCATTTATAAAATCGAGATTCAGTTAACTTAATTACTGATAAAAAATCAAGCTAAAAGTCGATTTTAAAATAGGGGTAGCTCGTAATATATAATTTCATGGAATATATTTTGACTTGACTAGGAATAATTTTTTTTTTGAGGCAATTGATTATTTTCTTGCATATAATAACTGAATTGGGGCCGTCTTAATATATTTATCTGATTGGAACTTTTATCGATTTTATCACTCTTTATCTTTTGTGCCGGCATCCCATTTATTATATATTGTAGCATACTTGCAGGCGTAACGGATTGTAACGAACGAATTAGTGGTGGAGTCACATCGGTTTTTAGAGATATGCTGTACTGAACATATTTCATTTGCACTGCAGAGTCCCTCGAACTATAGAACAAGATTTTAACAGTACTTACCTTGAACCGTTGACAGTAAAAATTTTGAATTTTTAAATGATTCTGTCTATTTAATAATGCAGCCTAAAATCCAACTTGGAATTCCTCTTACCAACAGGTTCTACTTTGGACTGAGTAGCCAAACGAAATCCTCTCTGGAGGAATGCTCAAATTCTACATGCCGCCCATCATTCTCTATCTGATTTATGTTGCAGTAGCCTGGATATTGGCGATAATCAATGGGTCTAATTTGCAGTTTTCCAGAGCCAATGAACTTACGTCCGCATGGAAGAAAACACTCTAGATTTGAAAGTATTCGATACAGTACACGCTAATGGAATCAGATGAAAATGGTTTTAAAAAGAATCTTTGGCGCTTAACCTCATTGTACACCGTAGACGATGGCACAAATGAATTATCTGGTATCTACGGCATAATCCATCGAAAAATATAAGATCCAGCGTCTGCAATAACCCAGGCATCTAATGATGTAGTACTAATTGTGCATCATGAAAGAAAACAGACCTCCCGTAAGCACTTGGTCAAGAGAAACTCTTCCTATTGTTTTATGTTGTTGTAATCCTCGTAGTACCCGTAGGCTTTTCTGTGAATTGTAGCGCCTTCCCATCTACCTGTTCCCGAGGGCTCACCATGTTGTAACCGTTTAAATCTTTCCCCGGAAATCAATCAAAAATTCAATTTTTCAAATATAAAAAGGAGTAAATTTTCGACCCAACCCGTGGCTTTTACCATATAGAAGCTCAGTAAGCAACAGTTTCGAATATCTAATGCACTACTTAAGTAGCAGACTTCAAGTATTACCCAACAGACAATTCATAATCGGTGACCACACCTCGTCGGAGCCGGTTGACAAAATGAAATGACAAGAGACTCACCGTTGCGCAAACTGCCAACAACACGGTGCTCAATTTTTCTTGGAAATGGTTTGAAAATTATCGGGAAGGTAAAAGCGTGCAAATCTCTCGGTTCCGACGGATAAGCATCTGATGCTAAAACATGTGGATCTAGCGGATGATCACCAGAATGTTCAATTTGCCTTTGACAACTCTAACTATAAACGATACGTGATACGGCTAGAGTGATCGGGCTATTAAAACCGGGAAAACCTTTCAACAAGCGAGACTCATATTGGCCGTTAACTCTCTTTTCTCCAGTAGTGAAGACAACGAATGCCTTGTTGCTTCCGTTTTCTACTCAGGCCATGACCTCAGCAGCACATTAGCATGGTGGCACTGGATTGAACTCGGTGTGAAAGACGATCATCTAAAAATTCCGACAGCTAATAATCACATGTTGCTGGAGTCACATTTGACAGTCTACACTTCTTCACATCGCATAAGACTGCAACTGCTACTTAAGGACAGAGCAGCAACAAAAGCCCCCCAAGTTACTACCAGGCTGCTCCCGATATGCACCGATCTTTACGCCGGGGACTGGCGAAATGCAGTTGAAGAAACAACAAGCAGTTGAGGAGCATAATGCTATGTAATACAAATCTGCTATAATGGACTGATTTGAATTTGACTTGAACCGCTGGACAGGACGGCATGACGGCAGACTTTAAACGGCACTCATCGAAAGTATGTGAACACCTTCGTAAGGTCTCTTCCCGTGAGTGGCGTACTCCGGAATCCAATCAGACCAAGATCAAGAGCTCGAGTTGCCAGGAGAGATCCGAGTAATACAGTTAAGGTCTGAATATGGTAGTCGATTTAATTAATTTAATTTTAATGAATAGTAGCTGATGCCGATATAAGCAACGTATGAATCATCACCTCTTTGCATGTCTTCTAAAACCAACTAAATTAACACGGGAAGGGTATGAACTCGTGCTTTCTGGAACTCCCATTAGATGGCCTGATTTTTAGCTGCTTTTGAACGGTGTTTAATAGATGCGACAACAACAACTTAAGGTCGAGTGACAATGTACAAAAACTGGGCATCAGAAGTCATTTGAGTTCAAAGCAGCTTACCCAGTCGGCAATCTTTCTCTATCGTTTATAGAATAGAAAATCAATTTTTTTACATAACACATAATCCTTGTCGAGTCAGCTTGAGGGCTCGACCGCATTTACAAGTCTTATATATATATATATAATTGGTGCCTTGAAGCCACTGAAACGATTTTCCGCTTAGCTCCTCTTTCAATTTGTGGTTTTGCGTCTTGATGTTTTTCCAACAATGGGGGACCCACAGTTTATACTAAGCAGCCTCCGAACGATTGATATTTATTTAGACGGGGTAGCCTTTATTTCATGTCAGAAATACACCCAGAGTGGTGGGCATTCGCTGCCGAGAAGAGACCACAATTAGAACATGCCCCTGCGGGTTAGGGGCTCATGAATTTACCCGCGGTAAGGCATGCCTGTCGTAAGAGGCTACTAAATTCCAATAGTTCCCGCGAAACGACTCGGATTTTTATTCGGCCCAGGGACTGTCACTCCCGCAACATTCCCCAAAAAGTACTTTGGGGAATAATTTTGCGGTTACAACAACATCAACAACAACAGAAAATGTAACTTAATTTTTTTTTTATTTAAATTATTAATTTTCTACAACTTTTGGATGTTGGTCGCACGGGCATTTGAACCCAAGCCTTCCGAATGGCGGTACGCAATGCTAACCATTCGGCTACCGCGGCCGCCAAGTCTTATAGGGCATAAAAAACACGCAATTCTGGTATCATCTTCAAACAGCCAACAACGTTTTACCACTTTCGCTCGTATTGCTTCGAACCAACAAAATATCAAACAACAACACCGTCTCTGTTACGAGTACGCTACCGTCTCAAAATCATCGATCGTCTGAGATCAACGAAGCAAACTTCCTCCAAACTAAAATCAAGTTGGATAAAGGAAGACCAGCAACAAACAACAAGCAACAACCACCATCATCACCATCACCACCACTACCACCACCAGCACTGTCACCATGCAGCACCAGCAGTCAGACAGTCGCCGAGCTCATGCACGCGCACAACACAATCAGTATTAACTTGAGTGCGATACGCTGTGAACGTGAACGTGGTGGCTTGATCGCAACGACGACGCATTGGCCGACCAAACGAACCGATAAGTGGCAAAAATACAATACAAAAACAAAAAAAAAATATATATATAAAAATAAAACAAACAAATTTCGGTACGAAACTTGAAGCGGGTAAATTGAACTTGGTGTTTAGTTGAAATTCTACTTGATAAGCAAAATAAGAAAAATTAAATAAAACAGAAAAATACAAAAATAAGAAAAAAGAAAAATGAAAAATAAAGCTCTGCTTAAAAGGAGCATCATTAGCAAGTAAGGTGAAGCGTTGAAAGCGTTGTGTCGCACTAAGACATCGAGTGGCTGGAAGAAGCTTGGTGGAGTTATGAAGTGGTAGAGCGCGTTGCTGGGTCGAACGATGGCCTGATGTGGCTTTATAACTGCTTCGTCGCCTTCTTCTGCTTCTGCTTCTTCTTCTGTTTCTTTTTGATTGAGCACGATGCGGAGGGGGATTGAAAGAGAGGTGGTAGCATGTGGAGAGTGTGTAAAGTGTCTTCGATTGGCATGGTGTTGGCCATTATTGGCAATTTACTTGCCAATCTGGGAAGGTTTTAAAATTACATACAAACAGACATATGCATGTACATCCATGCATATTTACATTTGCGTATATCCATACATATATGCAGCTACATGCTGCTATATAGTATAAATATAATATTTATGTATGTATGTATGTATGTATGTATGTAAATTGAGGTGTCAGCGTATTTGTATGTTTGCACTTAAGCACACTATACCTGTTCATAAGTAAATATTTATTTGCTAAATAATTGAATTGTTATTGAAGGCAATAAAACACCAGCAACAACAACAACAAACAAAACGCCGAAACAGATAAAAACGAATTAACTTGACTTGAGTGTTGACAGCAAATAAAGGATCATTTTATTTACTTACATACACACATACATACATATATACGTTTTTATTTATTAACCAATCAGTTTCGAAATTCCAAATCGAGTTTTTGTATACAATTTAACCAACAAGCGTACACGTATATATGTAGTGTTGTTGTATGCAAATAAATAAGCGTTATATTGCACTTGTCCCCTACTGGATGCATCATATGTTCATTTACATATACATACACACGTACATACTTACCAAATATACTGCTGTACGAATGCCATAAAAATCTCATACAAATTGCGTCTACGTTGTTGACAATCATTCAATTCAAAAAAGTGGCAAAAAGTTCATAAATTCAGCAAAATTTTGCGACTGAAAACCGGCTGAACACAAACAAACTTACAAACAGATATTTTTACAAGCAAACGCAATGCTAACAGTGTTAAAACGCTATGAGCTTTGTAAATGTCTATTTATTTGATTTAATTGTTTTTATGATTTAATTTTTTTTTTTAATTTTGTATTCAGAATATCGATTAATTTGCGTTGCTTGAAATTCTTTGAAACTTACGGCTCCTAAAAAAAAGGAATTTGAGCAAATAA